CGAACAAATATGATGTCTCATACAATTAATTTTAATGTACATATAATTTACGAAAGGACTATAAAGACTCCCATAATCACATAATTTAAAAAAACGATCCTTTCAGTCCTTTAAAAAAAATTTCAATCATTCTAATGAAAACCCAAGGCCCGCTAAGTAAGTAATCTACTCTCATTGAATATTATTAATTTCTTCTTCAGATTGTTCAGAGGCACGGGAGTAAATGAAAACTGTATTAAATAAATTCAGAGCATCCAAAATCTGATGCGGGCTTAAATAATGTAAAATATATAAAATGCATACACAATGCACACCTTACTACATTCTTTTGTCTTTTATTAATCCATCAACGTATTATCTATTACCGCATCACTAAAAAATATGAAATACGATCGAAATGTAGGTAAGCGCTTTGCATTGCTTCTTATAGAAGATAGATATCTAAGGATAAGGAAGATATTTGTATGATAAATATAAAATGTCTTTTCCAGGGTTATAGATGTATATTGAATATATGTATGTGTATAATAAAAATATTACATTTATTTCCGTTATCTGGTACCTGTAACACAAGTTCTTTACGAACTTATCACGGGACCAGTTAACGTGGCGTGATTGTTAGTGTAATAAAAAAAAAATAAAAAACAATAAATACATATTTCGTGTAATTTGTGCTTTAATTCTTATCTCACATGTCGATGACATAATAATTTATGTATGTTTAAATTTATTACGAACTAAAAAATTACCTGACACCGTATAAAAAATAATTTAGACTATTGACCTTGAACACGCGGGCGAAGCCGCAGTTATCAACTAATTTACATACCCAATCCTGTAGACCGAATGGTAAACAGTCAACGTCGCCCTAAACACGTCATTACGGATCCTCCCGATCCATTAACGGTGCTTTTAGATACCACAAGCACCGGTCACCGTCCTCGTCGAACCCGTCGCTTGTGACGAAGGGCTCGATTAGGGAATTAACCCATAGACACAGCCCACTGAGTTTCTCGCCGGATCTTCTCAGTGGGTCGCGTTTCCGATCCGGTGCTAGATTCTGCGAAGCACTGCTCTTGCTAGGGCCAGAACTAGTAACGACGTCAGCATCTTTGCATGCGGCATGATCACGGATATAATGAACATTACGGGTAGTATATTTCCAACATACTACCCGACAAGTTAACTTTGTTAATACAATGTTAACAACTGCTTAAGCTCAAGTTCATTTTTGCACCTGGTCTGACTCCTGGAATCCCCTTGAAGTTAATCGAAAAGGCTTATTTATTACCAATAAATATAATACTATTAGACCTTTTTTGCGTAAATAAACTTAAATATCATTAATAGATTGCATATACAATTTTACGGTAGTTAGTTCGATATTATATCGATAATATCGACAAATAACGCTTTAGCCGTCTGTGACCTGGAGAACTGTAAAATATTCGAAACATCGAAATAATAGTTAGAATATAAGTAATTAAAAAAATATCTTTTTTTTTTATTGCTTAGATGGGTGGACGAGCTCACAGCCCACCTGGTGTTAAGTGGGTACTGGAGCCCATAGACATCTACAACGTAAATGCGCTACCCACCTTGAGATGTAAGTTCTAAGGTCTCAGTATAGTTACAACGGCTACCCCATCCTCCGAACCGAAACGCATTACTGCTTCACGGCGGAAATAGGCGGGGTGGTGGAACCTACCCGTGCGGACTCCCAAGAGGTCCTACCACCAGTGATTACGCAAATTATAATTTTGCGGGTTTGATTTTTATTACACGATTCATCGTGAAAGTTGATCGTGAACATTTGTTGAGTACGTATTTCATTAGAAAAATTGGTACCCGCCTGCGGGATTCGAACACCGGTGCATCGCTTCACACGAATGCACCGGACGTCTTATCCTTTAGGCCACGACAAATAAGTCATTTAAATAATAATAAAATTAGAAATATCAGATACATGCAATCTTCATTTTGCAAATTGTCGCTTGTGTAACGCAGCGGTCTGAAGTAATTGAAACGTGAACCAATTTATCGGATGTACATTTTTGTTCTTAGCACATCGGTATGCGGTGTACAGTCTTGAAGTTCCCACATCTCGGTTAATATTCGATTAGGTTGATAGCACACACTGCGCCATCAAAACGATTTGGTCGGTGTTGATTGTGAAGGAGAACCGGCTAACTATCGATGATTGAAGTTGAATAAGAGCAGTTCAAATTGAACCTATCTCCCAGAAAGGTAAACTGGTGTGCACACGTGGATCAGTATGTACCACACTAAATAAGATATCGATATTTTATCTGCAGTCCACTTTGAAATATCGTCCAATAGTTTCACAGTAAGTGGGGCCATACAGTTTCTTTCGAACACGGGAATTCAAGTATGGCTCAACTTTACAATAGTGTGTCAAATTTCCTATGCAAATTTTCCTATGTAACCTCGATTTTATTATTTGGTCGGTCGGTTGGCTTGCGGGATTCGAACACCGGTGCATCGCTAGATACGAATGCACCGGACGTCCTATCCTTTAGGCCATGACGACTTTTTTTTTCGAATTTCGCGCGGACCGGTTGGTGAGCTCTCGCGCTCTACCTGAGAGAATTGCTAACACTAGCCCTAGCAAGAGCAGCGCTTCGCTGAATCTACTACCGGATCGGAATCGCGACCCACCGAGAAGATCCGGCGAGAAACTCAGTGGATTGTGTCTATGCCTTAATTGGCATGTCGGACTCTTCATCAGAGTCGACGAGTTCGACGAGGAATTTGATGTCTCATAGCATCCAAACCACTCGACTTAATAATCAATATCTGCCTTATGTAACCAATTATGGTATACCTTTGTGTCCTCCGAAACCCACTTTATGTTAGAGTCGGGTAGAGATGACATTTTACTTTTTTTATTATTATTGCCTTTGTAGGCAAACAAGCTTGCGGCCCACCTGATGGTGAGTGGTTACCGTCGCCCATGAACTTCAGCAATACCAGGGGCAGAGCCAAGCCGCTGCCTACTGCTTAATACACTCCACAAGCCTCATTCCATAGCCATCTGAGCTCAGGGAGCTCATTCCATAGCCGGATGGTACGTGGCAAAAAAGACCTCTGGAAACGCACTGTGGATGACCGCAGTGGCTCCAGGTCGTATGAATGAACTCTACTCCGGTGGCGGGAGGCGCGATGGTTAAAACGAGATGACGGTATCATCTCGAACAATTAATTCCTCAGAGCAATGTATGGAAACTCACTCACCGTTGCAAGTCACTTGCACATCTGCTAACGTAAAAAATACTTGCCCAACGGTACGGCCATGTTTTACTAACACATTTTCAAGCATAGTGTAACTTTGCATAAGATTTCTAGTCGATTCTATTTGATTGTCACTGTGTCGAAATTTCATCTTAACAAACATTGCACGCTTACATATTCTATGCTGACTCAGCCGAAACAAAGTGCATGCTGTTACAAAACTAACTAGCGATGTGGTGTTGGGTTCAAAATTTATCAGGTTTTATCGGGGTGTATCCAAATGTGACAGAGTCTTACAATACCTGCCTCTCTGTTGAATATTAGACTACTACTTCTAAGAATAGGATAAAACAGCTATTGATCTTTTCAGTTTTGCTAAAATCTGTTAGTTTATATAGTCAATGTCAATGATATTTTATATGTAAAAAGAAAATCATTGGACAATGTCAATAGCCTAAGGTACGATTAAGCTAAATACCAGTCTGCAAGAAGGATTTCCGAAGAATGCGAAGGCGGTATTCTTAGCTTTCCCTTACAATAAAATTATGAAATGTCCAAGCCTGACAGTATAAGGATATTTTTACAAGAATCTCCTCTCAAACTATTTTTAAGGAATAGCAGTGTACTCTGAGCAGATATTAAATTACTTACTTCAGTGGTCACAACGCCCGACATAAACTCCCGACAATAAACCGAATGTCAATGTCACCCATTAGAACATTCAGCCTGTCAGTTGTCAAATCTATGCAACGTCAATGTCAGTGCAGCAAGCAATTGTTTGTTTATGGTTATCGTTGTTACGTAGGATAAGAATATTGATAAAACTAATTGATTGACATAAAAGTCAGAGATAATACGTACAAGCTCACTTCAACAGCAGACGGATGCCTTTCCACCGTATTGATTCGTTACCTCGTTATCTTTGATTCCAATTTTTCAATGTCATTAATCAAATTAACGAAATTTCAGTTGTACAACTATATTTTAAAGGCAACAAGAAACTCTGTGAAAAACGTAAAGCTTAGAAAGTAGTGTAATAAACACAATAAGGTACAAAATGCGCTCCCGAACCTAACCTAATTGACGTAATTCAATTCTTGACGCAATAACTTGGCTAGTATAACTTCCTACATTAACAATGTACTCTAGTTTACAAAACACGTATTCCGTACAACGAATAGTATTCGAAGATTACGCACGAAGAAAACTAAAACATAATAAAGTCTAAAACATTTGATGCCAGGTGACCCTAATGCCGCGTACAGTTAATCGCATTAAAATGCCACGAATTTTTATTTATTGAGACTTTTTTATAATACTACAAGTTTCGTGAGTCTTAGATATAATTTAAACAAAGTGTTTTTTGTTTCTTATCATTATATTATTTTCAACATTTCAAATACTTCATAGTTTTCGTGGTCACTTTAAATATTGTATTACGATTGACTTCCACCCCAAACTCCAGATAGGAAAATTTTGATATATTAATGTAAAATCTATGTCGACTCGACTGATTTAATTAGACAAAGGTTCTCAACGAAATATCTCGGAAATTGACATGGCGTAGACAGTATTTTTCTAGAACCACCCTTCTGCCGGGGAAATTTTGTCCGAGGCCTGCACCACACCCCGGTAAGGGCACACGACCCTATCAACTGGTAAACTAGCTGATAAATTCACGTCCCGATATGGAATCCCATCGATTGATGAGAAAATAATAATAGTTTAAAACGCACACGCGCCGGCAATGAGACAGCGAAAGCGTTTGCATCACACGCATATAAAACTTAGTATAAAACAAGTGGAACACACATACGGCAACTCACTCCGGCTTAACATTCGCTAAACGACGAAAGCAAGGCGAACATGAGATTAATGGTAAATAAATAAAAAATACGACCCAGTGACGCGGTCCTGTGAAATAATTCTATCTCTTCATATTTTGTGTTTTTTTTTTTTCGAAAAAGTTACGTAATTTCCCGATTTGCATAACCGTCCAGCTGGTGGTAACATACGAACCAGAATACTGTCGCGGAAGAGTTAATGTTTCGAAGTAATTTGTGTTAGAGTGCGCCACGAGCTGTGTAATACTTCCGCGATTGAGCTCTCTTACATATTTATAATATTTAATCAATAAATCTTTATCTATTACCGCTTTTGATTGTTTTTTTTTTATTACAATCAATAAATAGTTTTAATTCGATGTCATTCTGATTAAAATTTTATAATTCGTTAACAGAGATCGTCCTTACTCCTGGCTGTGGTTATAGGCCTGGCTGCAGCAGAGGAAAAGGCAGCGAAGGCTGAAGAACAACTAGAACCTAAGAAACAAGACAAGCGAGGACTGTCCGAGTACTACGGAAGCTACGACGAGCACGGAGGAGGCCACGAAGAACACGTGAAAACCATCACTGTTGTCAAAAAGGTTCCTGTGCCGTACCCCGTAGAAAAACACATACCAGTACCGGTGGAGAAAAACGTGCCCTACCCCGTTAAAGTACCGGTTCCACACCCGTACCCGGTGATAAAAACTGTTCACTTCCCGGTCAAAGAATACATCAAAGTGCCAGAGTACATTCCCAAGCCGTACCCGGTCACGAAACACGTACCCGTACCGGTCAAAGTGCACGTCGACAATCCGGTGCCTGTTAGAGTATACGAACACGTGCCAGTTCCAGTTGAAAAGGCCGTGCCGGTACCCGTCAAAGTGCCTGTACCGCACCCGTACCCAGTAGAAAAAAAAGTACCCTTCCCAGTTAAGGTTCCAGTGAAGGTTCACGTGCCGTACCCGGTAGAGAAGATCATCCATTACCCTGTGAAGGTACCAGTCGACAACCCCATCCCAGTTCATGTTGATAAACCAGTGCCGGTGCATATAGAGAAACCTGTACCCTATCCCGTAGAGAAGCCCGTCCCGTACCCAGTTAAAGTGCCCGTCGACCGCCCAGTGCCCGTACACGTGGAAAAGCCCGTACCGTACCCCGTGAAAGTACCGGTACCCGCACCATACCCTGTAGAAAAAGTAATACCGTATCCCGTTGAAAGGAAAGTGCCCATCCCCGTCAAAATTCCAGTCGACCGTCCCGTTCCTGTGCACATTGAAAAGCACGTGGCAGTTCATGTTGAGAAGCACGTGCCATATCCCGTGAAGATCGGAGTGCCGGTTTTCCACCACGAGGAGGAGCACCAGCACATCGGAAGCCATGACGACCATCACGGCTTCGAACAACACAACGACGACCATCATCATCACATTGAAGACCACCATCATCATTAAAGAACTGATCTCTTTATTAATCTCTAGTTTTAATGTGTTATCTTGTCTCTAGATTTGTTTTTATGTCTGCATACGTGTGCGGTGATGTGAATAGTTGAAAAACGAAAGTATTAAATATTGTGGTTTTTTTTTATTAGTTTTTATTTAATTCACTACTAAACAATTCCATTAGGAACGCTTTTCGTCGTAATACGACGTAGTAAAAGTTGTAGTGAAATACTTTATTGGAGTAATTAATTATCAATGTCATTTGTATGTTCTAAGCGTAGAAATAAGTTCATTTTTTGATAGTTTTTTTCAGATAAGCGGTGACTGAGGCTCTGTGCAATGTCTTGAGTTCGAAATTTCAATGAATAACAAAAAACTGCTCTCCGGACAAACCTATCCAATTCAAAGGCAGTGGTAGGGTCTTATTCATAAATAAATATCTAATTGACATTTTATAGTTCGATGTCTTTTACAATTCTTGGCTGATTGGAAAACATTTGTAAAGAAAATATATTATACAATATTTTTTTACTGACGAAAGAGAAAAAAAACATTATTCTAGTCCTCCTACCTTTTTTTGAATTAGTAAAGATATTCTTATTAGTCGAACTTTTACGTAATATCAATATTTTTGTTGGCCGGTTTTGATTTCTTCTAAAACGTATGATTAAATTTCCATTTTTAAATTTCATTCGCGTTTGAAGAAAAAGAGAAAGTTTGATTCTAGTGTCGACATTGAATAGTTTATTTCCGTATAAAGTTTACGGGAACAGACACGCTAAGCGATAAGGACGTCCATTGTTACATTCGCTCATTGTTATTTTGACTTTATACAAATTGTAATGCGTGAGCCAAAAACTGTGTTCCCGTGTCACAGTTTAAAACTGTTTTGAGCCAGAACAGTGCGCTTAGTGCGAGTTTTTTAACTCCATACAAATTTGAGTTAACTTTTACGCTATCGAGAACGTTAAAAAACTCGCACTAAGCACACAGGTGACTTAGTAGTGCAACATATACGTTATGAATATTGACCTTGACGCATTTATTCACCCAAATCCACCATTGTCAATTTTCATTTTGATTTAGTTAGGTCAGGAATTATCGCTTGGTGTTAAAAATATTGCAATCCGTTCAAATAATACAATACTCTAACTAAAGTTGACAAAACGAAGCACTGAATTAGAAAAAAGAAATAAAATATGGAAATATTACTTCACCAATGTATCCTGCTATGAAACTCTCTTAATAATAATATGATTTATACATTCAAACATTCAGTGAACAAATTTATTAATTAATGTGGCACGAATTATTTTCATATAAATTATAAATAATGCTCTCGCCCCAAAAGTGATGAATTTCGTCACTAGTCACATGATTTTTGGCTTCACTTTATATCGACGTTGTGCGTATAAAATAGATGATGTTTAGAATAAAGTGCCGAAAGATAAGCTCAGTAAAATTAAAGATCATATCCGATCCTACAATCCGGAATTTAACTTTTTTATTTATTTACGAAGGGATTAAAAATTCCTAATCTAAAATGTCCGCCCGATGTTTCCAAACTATGTTTAACAACGGCACTTAAACTTGGCTGTCCCCCCACAGGGCACGTTTCAGAGGAGACAGTCACTTGCATTCAAGAGCGCCTACAACCGACCACATAAATACATGTGAAATGGAGCCAGTATTGCTTGTTTTCGAAGCATGTTTTTGGGGCTATGATTACGTTATACAAAACGAATCGTTTATCGTGCCCATTTACGACTAGCATTTGTAATTTCTCTGCAATTTTCAGTTGCAAAACGAACATGTTTTAAACATAAGATTTCTAATATAGAATATATTCTGATTAGATATTATCGATTTACGCAATCTCCAGATTAGTGTGGCATGAATCATTTGAGCACGCCGAATTCATGCAATCGGCCCATTTTTACCGCAAATGGGCTTAAAAAACAAACGTCATTGAAAAATTTGTGGGACTTTGCATCCAATTTTACGATGGATGTAGTGTTAGCCCCTTTTGTCTCGTGTCACCATTTAACGTTAGCTGTGTCGTGAGTTAATCTATCGATGCTCAGAAAACGTAAAATATTAATAGATTTTGGATGAAGGACAAAAGAGAAAAAAAATTGAGCAATGCACCAATAGCAATAGTAGAAGAAACGACAGTAAATTTAGCGCAGCACTTGCGCATTACACAGTTATTACGCAAAACGGTAATACGTTAATTTGTAACGACTCGAAGTTAAACTAATTGCGGTATATACTAGTTTCATTATTTTCATACAATGTATCTTTTATTATTTAGGCCTATTTTCTAAGATCTCTCGCGCTGAGTTAATTAGTTATGTCAGAGATATTTTACACGCATCATATTATGTATTACGAGTGTATGGATCGGATGACAAGACTATGGCAATTCGTCCTCTGAATTACGCTGACAGAGATATATAAAATATGTAATAACAAAGTATGCAACATGCAGATTACGTAAATGCATGTTTTTTTTTAGGTTATTGTAGAAAGGTGAAATTAAAATTATAATTGAAGTATATATTAAGACATTCATTTTAAATATTTTCTTAAAATATCAGTCAGTGATCAATGAATATTATTTTGATTTTTGATTTTTGAATTGTTTTTTGTTCTCAGATAAAGATAAAAACAAAGAATCCTTTATTAACAACCTAAATTATTATTTAGGTACATACTATTAATGCTGGTTTTTTACTGGTGGTAGGACCTCTTGTGCGTCCGCACGGGTGGGTACCACTACCCCGCTTATTTCTGCCGTGAAGCAATAATGCGTTTCGGTTTGAAGGGTGAGGCAGTCCTTGTAACTATACTGAGACCTTAGAACTCGTATCTCAAGGTGGGTGGTGGTATTTACGTTGTAGATGTGTATGGGCTCCAGTAACCACTTAACACCAGGTGGGCTGTGAGCTCATCCACGTATCTATGCATAATTTTGTTAATATAATTTTTCTAAGCATTTGACATCGGCAAAGATTGTTTAGCTTTCGCATAGGCCTCCCCGTAAATCCTGCCATAAGTACCGGTCGTGGCATTTTCACTTCCCCTTTTTTCGTTCTTAGATTTAATTAAATAAAGCAACACTTAACCGCAATTCTTTCGTAATTTCCGTAAAAAAATTAATCATCTCGCTAATGAAATAAAAACATACACGTAACTAGAAGAGTGTTCTAACAGTTGATAGTATTTTTATTATTTCCTTGCTGTATAGACATCACTATGTAAATATCAAGGCTTCGTTTTAATCTGAAGCTCGACAACTAATTCGCACCGATATTAAGAAAATTTATCGTACTATTTATAGAATTTCTTACATCGAACTTCTAATTAATTTCGAATGAGTTTATAAAACTAGTGAAATTAGAATAGCACAACCCCGTCTTTTCACGTTTATGTCGTGGAAGTCACGTAAAAGACACAACTGTATAATGTAATATACAACTGTAAAATGAGAAATTCGTGGCTTATTTAACATGGAATTTTTTCTTCTTCCTCTAGTCTTTATACTCTATTCCAATTACGAAGTCCCATTTAACAGATGTTATTATTATGTTATTGTCTGTGTGAATTAATTGTATAATGATTTAGATTGATTGTATATTTTTTTAATGATGATTTACGACCATAAACAAAAATGATTATTATTTCAGATTATGCGAAACGTGATGAGTTACGTTCTAAGAAGTGTCAAAAGGGACTTCGTAATTGGAATAGTTAGCGGGTTAGTTATAATCTACAATCTAAACTGACCTTATGTAGGGAATGTTGGCCGGTATGTGGTACTTGGATCCAGGGTCGAAGTCCAGCTCGGAACGCAGCACGGGAGGCTTCACACCTTGATACTGCTCCCTGTGGAAACGAAGATCATAACTAACAGTTTTTTTTTTACATTACTTTGGTTAATGAGTTCACTTTCTACCTCGTCTTAAGTGGTTAATGGAGCTTATAAAAAACACAACGGTAACGCCGCTTTTTTTTTTCCTACCTAAGCTGATGGTCTAGACTTCTAGAGTCTAGAGAGACCATATCAGCGTAACCTTAACTAGTAGGTGAGCTCATGTGACTCATACCTGACAATGTTGCTAACACGAACCCGTGTTTCGCAAAATCTACCACCGGATCAGTGCCGCTACGACACATAGTTTTATATAAAGTTTTTTTATTAATACTCATTGAATAATTTTAAGATTGGGATAAAAAAAATATCAGTCTCATAATCAAGTTAGGTCAATTTGCTAACAGTATCTATATATTAATACGCGAAGAAAAAACTTTGTACCTCTTTTTACAAAAATTGCGCGGACGGATGAGTATGAAATTTCCCACACTTATAGAAAATATAAGAGAAGGAGTGACGAATCTAAAACGAATCTAATTTTTTTTTTAATTATGAATGAATAAATGAAAAAAAAAAAAACACTATACACACTACCATGTATTTGACTCGCACATGCATATTCTTTTGTTTATTGTCAAAATGTTATTATTGTATAAATTCTATGGTCAAACTGAGAATAGATTAACATTATGTGTCTATAGTGTAGCCTCAGCGACTTTTGTGATTAGAAGTATAATAGTCTTTGACAATAGAACCTTAATAATGTTCAAACTTATAATTTCAATTAATTATAGTCGAATTTCGACTACTAGTGGAGCACTAGTTGTATATAAACACGCTCATATGCATACGACTTACATAACATCGCATTCTCGGTGTATCTCGTTTAAACAGACCTTCAGAAGTCAAAGTGCATGTAATGTAGCGATTTGTCGATGAAACCGAATTAATCGCATTCGCCATAATCACATTTTTTTTGTGTAATCAAATCGAGTGATACAGAATAGACAGATTGGGCTTACATGTAAACTAATATGGTTTTCTTAATATTTTCCTGTTGTTTTTCGAACACTAAAATTCGAAACAATAACTTAAAGGCTCTCAAACTTTGTTTGTCCCCCAGTTATCGTTGTCCAGTGAATATCATATTGTAGACTGTCTCTAAACTCGCCTATTCGCATTAAGCAGCTCATGATAATCTTTTTTTTTTCTGGAACAAAGTTCCTTATGAGACGATGCGGAGGAGTACCGTAACCGGGAAAAAACGTCCGTAACGTAAGATTTTTATTAGTAATGCACACAGTGTACGACTTAACTTTGTAATAACGTACAAAAGACAACATATTTTTTTATCATTTATTGACCACGATCTCAGAGCGTTCGTTTGGGCAATACATTAACTCTTATGCAAACAACCGTGAATGAAGTGTACCACAATAAGTTCGCACGTTACCGAATGACCGTGGGTTGTTGTGAAACCTCCAGTTTTATTTTCTTTATATCTCGAATAGAACTTAAAATCAATATTTTTATATTAAGGAACTTCGTTCCACACATCTTTTTTTAAAGTGATTCTTTTAATTTTCTTAGTTTCTGTCTTCATTAATCGACATCATCCACTTTGGGAACTGCTAGGATAGCATAGCACTCACGTATAACCAACAGTCAAAAATGCGTCAACAGCTTTCATTGACTGTTACCAACAAAGAAAAGATATAAATAAATGTAAACTCGCTACCGCTTGTAAATTGCAACCACTGTCCCTTTCATTCGAGATTCGAACCCGTTACTCGCGAGTCAAGGCCGTGTAATGACCGCAAAGCCATCACTATCTAAACACAAATGTTGCGCGCCGTGTATTTTTTTTTACTAATAAGACAATGTACTTTTAGTTTATTGACTCTAATGAACTATATAGGGCATTTTTTCAAAGTGATAAGATTTGTAACTAAATATGTAGGTACCTTTATTCAGGAAACTGCTTAAATGTAACGGTAAACTATATGATTGAAATATGTATATAATATGTATTTAATGATATGGAATATTCTAAAAGTGGTTACATAAAAGACTTAACGTTAAATAAAAGACGTTTTCTGTACAATATTAAGGAGACAACATTTAAAACCTTTATTTTTTCACAAATTATGTTATTACATAGTATTCTTGAATTAAATAAAACTGAACTCATCTTTTTTCTCAACGACAAAGAGTTCAGTCAATCTATAACGTTGAAAAAACAGTTTTTCCTCAAAAAAAAAAACTTATATAACCTACATTACCTACCTACCAACCAATATTGGCAAACCTAAAAAACATGGCAGCGAACATAAAAAATGTATAATTGGTAATAAATGACATAATAAGACGCTTCATTGAATAGTTACATACGAATACCTTTTCGTCTGTCAATAGATTACGTGTTCGGTGAATATGTTCATTAAGTCAGTTCCACTGTAATTATATGAATTTAGGTTGGTCGTAATGTGATAGTTGTAAAATGGAAGAGCCACCGCATAGATCGTGCAACCTCAATCCGGGAAAAATCAAGTGTTCCAATTTTTATTAATTTTTTTTCGTGGTTGTCAATCAAATGTATTAGGTACGTGAATAACTCTTGTTAATGAGAAGCGCGATTAGCAGCCCTTTTTTTTTTGGTCATGAGGAAATCGCTCGACTTCCGCCCTCCACTGGAGATTGAGGGCGGGGCATGTCAGAGTCGAACTGACTAAAACCTCCTGTCGCTCAACAACCAACGTCCAAACCTCGCATGAGATAGAACTCATGAAGAGGCAGAGGGGGGAAAGTGAAGCGTTTAGTGCGGAGCACATCTCTCCCATCACCCTCCCCCTCGGGACGCCGGACCGGCGGTCGTCGACGCCACGACCACCAGTCCTCTCGGTCGGCAGGCTATCCGAAGCCCGCCTAGATGGCGCCGGTTAGAGTGAGCTATCCTACGGAATACCCCGCTGCGATTAGCAGCCTAGCTACCTGCGAATAGTAGTAAAATAATTCAAATTAAGTACTTTATACACTGAGACATCGAGGCCTATTGTCAAATTATCATTTAATAGCAACAAAAGATACAGATAAAAAAAATCTTTAATAAGATATTTTAATGACCTCAGTTTGACAGACGCATTCATGGCCCACCTTGTAAGTGGTAGCTCATAAGCAACATAACTTGAATACTGTCTTAAAACATGAGACCAAAACTGAACTGTGACATATCGGCTTCACGGCGGAAGTAGATCGGATAGTAATACATATCCGTGTCTATTAAAACACATTCTACCTCTAGTAAAATGGCACATGATTTTATTCTACAAATTTAGTAATTTGTAGAATAAAATCAGCTTTCTGATAAAGTCCCTCTAATCACTTAACACCGGATTCACGAAAACTCTTTTATCGATCTACAGTTTTTTTTCCTACCTGAGCTGATAGCTTTAGAGGGCTATGCCAGCGTCACCGAGCATGTAGGTGAGCTCACGGGTCTCTAACCTGAGGACGTTGCTAACACTAGCCGTAGCAAGAGCAGTGCTTCGCAGAATCTACCACCGGATCGGAAACGCGACCCACTGAGAAGATCCGACGAGAAGCTCAGTGGGCTGCTTCGATCTACAGCAGTAAAAAGCTCAAGCAAGCGGTAGGCAGCGGCTTGGCTCTGCCCCTGGCATTGCTGAAGTCCATGGGCGACGGTAACCACTCACCATCAGGTGAGCCGTGTGCTGGTCTGCCTACAAGAGCAATTAAAAAAGAAGGACATAGAAGGCTACACACCTTAATCTCCACCAATGGCAATTGTACTGCTCCTTGCGGACATCTCCTGTGAACACGTCCCAACGCCACCTGTCCATCACCAGCGCGAACGGAAGAAACGCTAACTTGTCCATAGCTTGGGTGAACAGGAAGTTCGTGTTGTGGGCTGTGTCGTCTACCGAACGTTGAACCAGGCCTAGGGTTTGCAGGTGACGAGGGGATCCAACTGACAGTGCTATTGTCTCGCCAATAGCTTCGTGGAAACCTTTTGACAAATTGAAATTTGGTTATTTATAGCAACGATATTAGTGCAGTATTTGTACCAGCATTATGTTTCGTCCATCTACAAAGAAGATTTAAAAAAAGCAGAAGATTTGGTTGTTCCTCTTGAATTAATGATTTTACACGGGAGAACGACAGCTTACACAGAAGAACTCGATATTTAAGGGTTACTAAGGTTCATAGATATAGTAAATGCCCTCATATTCTTTAAGACATGAGATCGAAGGTTCTATATTGTGTAATGGTTATCTCAAACATCAAACACATGAACTGGTGGTAGGACCTCTTGTGAGTCCCCGCAGGCCACCACCCTGCCTATTTCTGCCGTAAAGCAGTAATGCGTTTCGTTTTGAAGGGTGGGGCAGCCGTTGTCACTAACTATACTGAGACCTTAGAACTTATATCTCAAGGTGGGTGACGCATTTACGTTGTAGATGTCTATGGGCTCCAGTAACCACCTAACACCAGGTTGTGAGATAGTCCACGCAACTAAGGTACAAAAAAAATTTGCAGAAATAGATTGGACAGTGATAGCTTCTAAATTCTTCTAAAGGAACAAGTAAAGTCATTGAGTAACAGACGCACAAACGCGTCAATTATTATGTCCTAATTCCTCAAACAAACCACATTAATAGTACACTCACGAATGAAAACACTACAGTTGCAATTCTTTTGTCGTCACCAACTTTAGTATTAGTGTAGTGAGGCGCCCGCAGTGTAATCAAGAGAGCTATGAGTTGTACGTGCTTTGAATGAAAATGTACGCCAACTTTTTTAGTCCCGTAAATACTAGCTTCGACAGAACTGGAGTTCATTGACATTCTGGCCGATGAGGTAACCATGTGTTTTGGATCGAGTGGTATATAGCTGTTATCTATTATTGTTGAGCCAATTGTGATCTATACTACATTAGTAGCGTGGAGCGGCTGTTAAGTTAAAAGTCGTCGTGGCCTAAAGGATAAGACGTCCGGTGCATTCGTATCTAGCGATGCACCGGTGTTTGAATCCCGCTGGCGGGTACCATTTTTTCTAATGAAATACATACTTAACAAATGTTCACGATTGACTTTCACTGTGAATCAATAACATCGTGTAATAAAAATCAAAGCCGCAAAATTGTAATTTGCGTAATTACTGGTGGTAGGACTTCTTGTGAGTCCGCACGGATAGGTACCACAACCCTGCCTATTTCTGCCGTGAAGCAATAATGCGTTTCGGTTTGAAGGGTTGGGTGGCCGTTGTAACTATACTGAGACCTTAGAACTTATATCTCAAGGTTTGTGGCGCGTTTACGTTGTAGACGTCTATGGGCTCCAGTAACCACTTAACAGCAGGTAGGCTGTGAGCTCGTCCACCAATATAAGCAATAAAAAAAATAGTTATTTCGTTAAATCTTAAAGTTCACTGTCTGAAATCAAGTGAACCGATGCCAAATATACCTACTCTGTTTCATTAACAAAAAAAACAATTGTAGAAGTTAAATATTCGTTTGACACTTGAATCTTATCTAATTATAATGTGCTCAAATTATAAACAGCTAACGCGATAGCAAGCGACTGCGTATGTAAATTAATGCAAGAAAAAACGGATATTTTTAAGTCTAAAAATATTAAAAACTTTCTAAACTATAAAAAGCACAGCGTAGGCTTTGGACTTGACCTCGTTGCGTGTGTGTATCAATCGCTTCTAACAAAAAAATACAACCTAAATGAATCCAGCCGAATTAAATATGTACTAGAAGTGACAAACAAGTTTGCATATCCCAGTAACAGCCAAATTATAAAGACGGCGTGCGTGCAACTTGCTGCACGTGAATGAAGTGAAACTTCTTTTTCGATAGTATTGTGGTTTTCTTCATTTTTCATCCTTAAAGAGACAGAGCGTAGTATACTTTTTACAGGCCAGCGCGAGCGTTAGCAACGAGTAGCATCCAATATTTTAATGAAGTATTTAACAAATAAATATATTTATTTTTCTATGTATAATCTATCTATATATATAAAAATGAATTGCTGTTCGTTAGTCTCGCTAAAACTCTAAACGGCTGGACCGATTTGGCTAATTTTGGTCTTGAATTATTTGTGGAAGTCCAGAGAAGGTTTAAAAGGTATAAAAAATTTGAAAATGCTCGAAATTAAATAAAAATAATAATTTTGTATTCCCTTTGATGTGTCCCCTGTCGGACGGATTCCTTTTGTTTGTTTTAAGGTTATTTTAAATAAAAGCTTAGGTTTTTTATTTGTCGATTAAGGCACTACGAAGTCTGCCGGGTAAACTAGTTTAAAATATATATAACATAAATGTTGAAGATGTCGCATCTCTTATACACAGCATTCCCTATTACAAGAGCAATCTGATTAAAGGATGAACAATGAAGAAAACCACAATGCTATACATAGAAAAAGAAGTTTTACTTCATTCACGTGCACCACGCTGCAAGCGCACCGTTTGTTTCCTACGTAATCAGGTAAATTAGAGGGTCATACCAGCGTAACCATCGAGTAGACTAGCTCACGGAGCTCTAGCCTGGCGACGTGGCTACCACTAGCCCTAGCAAGAGCCGTGCTTCGCAGAATCTACCACCGGATCGGAAACGCGATCCACTCAGAAGATCCGACGAGAAACTCTGCGGGCTCTTTCTCTTTTTTTTTCCTGCCTATGCTTTGAGAGGCTATACCAGCTTCACTCTAACGTGTAGGTGAGCTCATGGGGCTCAAACCGGAGTGTTGCTAACACTGGCCCTAGCAAGAACAGTGCTTTGCAGAATCTAACACCGGATCGGAAACGCGACCCACTGAGATGATCCGGCGAGAAACTTATTGGGCTGTGTCTGTGGGGTTTCTCTGTCCAACGGCTCTTCCATTATATGCACATCGGTGTAACCAGTCACCGGTCGTTAAGATGCGCGCGTGCGTTACATAAATTGACCGACATAAATCTTCATAATTAATTTCCGTGAATTTTTTACTATTCGTCCAATAAGCTAGTGTGCGAAGATTATTTGCGATTATTTTTTGACGTTTTTATTTAAGTTAATAACTGCTTTTAGACAGAACAAGCTCATTTCTTCATCCTCGTAAAATGGAAACATCTTTTACTACGAACGAAAATTTTTTTTTATTGCTTAGATGGGTGGACGAGCTCACAGCCCACCTAGTGTTAAGTGGTTACTGGAGCCCACGGACATCTACAAAGTAAATGCGCCACCCACCTTGAGATATAAGTTCTTAGCTCTCAAGTATAGTTACAACGGCTGCCCCGCCCTTCAAACTGAAACGCATTACTGCTTCACGGCAGAAATAGGCAGGGTGGTGATATCTACCCGTGCGGACTCCCAAGAGGTCCTACCACCAGTAAAAATCAGTGTGATAGTAGAAAGAAATGAAAGCAGACGGTTCGACCTGTTTTTTGATGTCAGTAACTAAGGGCAGTGTCATACAACAAGATAATCACAACGGTGCGATTATCGTAAAATATAGTATAGTATTATGCAAGAAAGACTTGTATTACAATCGCTAGCAAATGTCGTAAAATTCATGGTATATCTTGCATTAGGCGATCTATAAAGTCAAAAAAGTGAAATTAGTAACGCTTGTGTACAACCATAGTCCTATTCGATGACTTTTCATAGATAGGCTTATGAAGACACCGGTTTGCTTGCCGAATCTCGTGCGTCGATTTACTTTCAAAGAAACCCATTTTGATGTTTGAAAAACAATTTGTTTGGTTCTCTTCCATAGAAACGAAATAGAATGCCATAGCTGGGATTAAGCGACATCCCACAATGAATAAACACGTAATGCAGCTGTCATGCAAAACAAGATATTTGATGGATGCCTGAATCTCGCTTACGACATTTTCAAGTTAGGCTTTCATATATACAAGTTCCGAACAACAACATTCGGACCGTCGGTCTACCGAGCGATATTACCAGATTAGTGGAAGACCTTTGTCTCTAGCTCTAGGCATAGCAAACTATAACATAGAAGAGTCGCATCATAATTTCTTGAATAAACATTAAAGAGTCGTCACATAGAAAAAGGCATTTCTCAACACGCACCGCGTTCCATATTTCACAAGCATGCGCCAGCATTGATTACATGCATTACATAAATTTGAGCACGCGTTCTGTTACAAATAATTATAGTATACAATATATGATATAAGCAATGTACATATTATATAGTATACAAATATAGGATGAATGACTCACTATAAATAGGATAGGAGTTGCATTTAAATTTACATAAGTGTGTGTTCTATAAAGAACAAATTAAGAGTATACATTCTCAAACCAAGGCTTTCTTACAATTGAGCCTTTTTTTATTGCTCTTGTAGGCAGTCGATCGTATGGACTACCTGATGGCGGAACCAAGTCGCAGTCTACTGTTTAGTACTTTCTATAAGCCTCGTTTGAAGAACGACTTCTCAATCAGAACGCTATTTTGAAAAATCAGCGCGGCACGACAACCCTCTTGTCGTGGCCGCCGCTAATTACTTATCTGATCGCGACGGGGCAACGCAAAGCCGCCGTCGCCAGAAACATATCCTGTCGGGTCCCCCGGATTCACACTCGGTGCTTTTAGGACACTCAATCACCGGTCACCATCCTCGTCGAAGAAGATTTCAATGAGCGAACTAACCCACAGATACAAGCCACTGAGTTTCTCGCCAGATCTTCTCAGTGGGTCGCGATTCCGAAGCACTGCTCTTGCTAAGGCTAGTGTTAGCAAACTCTCTCAGGTTAAGCTCGTGAGCTCATCTACCCGTCCGGACGTAGTTGAAATAGCCTCTTATGATACCGGCGAATAGGTAGAGAAGACATGTCATAACGCTCGAGAAACATCATACAACCTTTCATAATCTTAGTAAGGGAGCGTGGATAAGACGGCCGATACGTCGAGTATGATCCTTAATATGCCACGAATTCCGCGACCTAACCCCACGGGCTAATCACCATTGTGTCTGTCACTAACACGAAGC